ATTTACATTTTATACAGATGGATCAGTTAGTGATATTACTACTGAACGATGTACAATGGGTATAGGCTGGGTTCAAAAAGCTAATGATATTGTATTACCTGACTACTCTGCTACATTTCAATTTTTTTTTTTTTTTTTAATGAATGAATTAAAATTTTTTTTTAATGATTTAATTTTTTTTTTGTTATCATCTTTACTAACAGGCCCACAGAACTGTCATCGTACGTGCATTGAAAGGTCTTGAAGACGTTATTGGATTGAGCGTTGTTGATCACTTTTTGGGTGATGGAGGGTGGAAATTTAGCACTCCCGAGGAAACCCCTGGAAGTATTCCAGACACTGTAAATAATGCTAAATATCTTCGAGAATTATATTTTAAGGTTAATCCTGATTACGATGGAAGGTCTGAATCCAAAATTCGCGAATATACTTATATTCTTATACATAGTTTTTTTTATATAACTTCAAATAACAAAAATATTATATTTTAGATATACTGTTCCTGTTCTTTGGGATAAAAAGTTACAAACAATTGGTAAAATATCGAGATTATTATAAACTTAGAACAAGATTATTTAAAAATAACTCAACCTTTACTATTATAGTCAACAATGAATCCAGTGAAATAATCCGCATGTTTAACGATGCGTTCGATGAATTCGTCCCAGAAACAAAGGGCAAAACTTTTTACCAAAAACATCTTGAAAGCGAAATTGATAACATAAATAGTTGGATTTATGACAAAATTAACAATGGTGTTTATAAATGTGGATTTGCTACAACCCAAGATGCTTGTGCGTATAAATATTTATATATTTATATAATATATATATATTTATTAATTCATAGAATTAATTATTTGCATTTTTTCATCAACAGATAATAACCATATTGGAAATCTTTTTGAAGCTTTGGATAACGTGGAAGATATTCTTTCTAAAAATGAGTTTCTTGTTGGAAACACCTTTACTGAAGCAGATATTCGACTTTGGACCACTATTATTAGGTAATGTACATTTTGAAAAATTTTCAGGTTTTCATGATTTAAGAGAACTGCAGTAGTTACATATTCAAAAATTACATACATAGATTTGATCCAGTTTATCATACACATTTTAAAACCAACTTGAAATCCATTAAATGTGACTATCCAAACATTCTTCGCTGGGCTAGGCAAATTTATAAAATGCCTAAAAGTAAATCATTAAAATTTTATTTTATCAAATCAATTCATATTGATTCAATATATTAATAATCAATCTCAATCTTCTGTATAATCAATCTTAATCTCCTTAAAGTTGCTGATACTGTTAATATGACACACATCAAAAATCATTATTTCCGAAGCCATAAGCAAATTAATCCATATGGAATTGTTCCCGTTTGCAATGGACCCGGTATGTAAACTTTTTTTTTGAATCACAAGATACTAGTCTAATCAATAATATATTTCTAATAATGTTTATATCTAATGATTGTATAATTTATATTGTTTCAATTATCAGCTCTTGACTTATAAGTATGATCCTCGACTTTGTTTTATTTCTTTGATAAAACAAGTGATGTGAGAAGAGCAAAGTTTTTTTTATAAAATACAATTTTCATTTTTAACTATCCGGTATTAATATGTAACAAACTTGTATTTTATCATTTTTATCATTTTTTATTGAGTTGTATAAAACCCTTTTGTTTCAATATTGGGATATAAATAACTTTAGTAAATAAACTATATTGAACCTTACAATTACTTAACGAGTAGTAAATTAATTTAAAAAATTTATTTGTTTAAACAACTGTTCATGATTCAAATTTAATAAAAAAAAATTTTTTTGGTAAAATTTTAGTTCTAATACTAATTAGTTTTTACGCTGATAATAAAGTTCCTTGCGTTTTAATTTATAATTTTAAATGACAAATTTTATATTTGTAGATGCATCGTGCCTTACTTATTTTCAATGTTGCCTTTTCTTATGAAACCTAGGCAAGAGTTGCAAGAGTGTTTCGTAATATCGAAACTACAGTATTCGCGAGATAAGCACATTTCATCACGGCGAATTTATGAAATTTGTCCCTAAATTTAAATTTAGTTACGTATCAAATATTACATATTAATAAATCAATGTTAAACCCCTGAAGAAAGCTTTTTGGGCTACTGAACTAGATTGATGACATGTCTAACCCATCTTCCTCACTTTGACGTATCTCATTAAACATAGAAATTTATTATAATATCAAGTATCAGTCAAATTTTTCTGATTTTGGAGTATTTAATAAATTCGCAACAGTGTATTGTATGGATTAAATTCACGAAATGCGGATCTAAATTAAAACCTCTTCTAGAACATAAGTTGCGCTTACGTAAATCTATTGTGTAGGTTTTCTTTTGAAAGTATGAAATTAAATTTGAATTTTGCACACTGATTGAACTGATCAAATTAAACTTATAAACGGAGATAGTATTTGATGAAATATATGAAATAAAGAGAATATGTACATACGTCACGAAAGTTAAGTCCTTTGATTAAATTTTCAAAATTTTGCAAATCGCAGTAAATTTCGTAAATCGTATAAATCGATAAAAAAAAAAACCGACACTATAATGGATGCGTAGATAGATTTATCAAATTTAGTTCATATCGATATGTAGTAAGAAAGTATATAAACGATTGAAGCTTACCTTCAATAAAGCATGATTTCATTAGGTTCAACTTGAGAGTCATTATAAGGTGTTTCATTCTATGTAACAACCTTCGATTAGTAATCACAAACCCGTGACTTTATATTGTGTAATCTATACTTTACAGAAACCTATGTTTTTGCTAAATATGTTTAAAATATAATAATAATCTGATAACAATTTCTGTTAAGT